TTTTTTTTATAAGCATTTAAAGTTTAAATCTTGATAAAACACGTAAAAATCAAAAAAATGTACAAATCATTTTGAGTTAGAAATTCATAAAAAATTTTCTTTTTAAATTTAATATTTTAAAATGTAATACAAGATTCCTCATATAAGTTTTTCTACCTTTATAGAATAATAAATTTTTGTGAGAGTTTGAAGTTCATATTATTACAACATTGGATATTCACTCGATTTCTCGTGTAGCGATTTTATATTCTCATTTTCTATACACAATACAATTTTGTACATATTTTGACTAGTTTTGAGCTGTTTACCTACCGACTATTTCAAATTTAAATTTTTTTTGTTTTGACAATAATATCATCATATATACTTAGTAATGTCATAGCTCAGAATAGTTTTTCTTATACAATGATAATATATCATTTAATTCAAATTTGACAAAGTCCATTACAGTGAACCACTTGAAAAGTACTGTACAGCAGAGCGACACCTACTTGCCCACATTTTTTTATTTTAGTTTCTAAGTGGAACGATGAATGTATTGATTTTACAATGATGTGTGTTTTTATTTTTTATTATTTTTTGTGTCTGTCATCACGTTTTAGGACAGTAAAAGTGCTTGGATTTTCTTCAACAGTAACTTTTCTGATAGGAAAGTGAATATAGTTGTTACTTTGGAGGTCAAAAGTAAAAATTTCCCAGTAGTTTTCACAAGCGCCGGGAAAAACAACATATAAATTAAGGAAAAACGGGAATTTTTACGCAAAATCGGTTTTCCAAAAAATCGATTTTGGTTTTTGTTGTAACTCTAAAACAAATGAAATTTTCACTGGTTGTTTATATTTGCATTCTCTATACACTATAACATTTTCAAAATATTTTGATTTATTTTGAACTGTTTAGGGACATTTTCATTTTCCATTTTTTTTTAGTTTTTATTCTAAAAATATCAATAACATTTTATTTGTTGGTGGCGAAAGTTTGAAAATTTAATAAAAGGCTCCTACAATATTGTTTCAAAGCAGATGAAAAATATTAAAAATCATTAGACACAATTTTTTTTTATAAGCGCTTAAAGTTCAAAAATTGACAAAATATGGAAAAATCATGAATATTATCAAATTATTTTGAGTTAAGAATTCGTAAAAATTTTTCTTTTTGAATCTAAGATTTTAAAATGTAATATAAGATTATCTACTTTTATCAAAAAAAAAAATGTCAGTAAGAAAGTCAAATTAAATTTTTATGAGCGTTTGAAATTCAAATTTTTACAACATTGGATATTCACTCGATTTCCCATGTAGCGATTTCTTTATTTTGTTGTAATTCGAAAACGAACAACTATAATATATATACATGAAAATTTCACTGAATATTTATACTAACTTTTCCTATACACCAAACAATTTTGAAAATATTTTGACTCTTTTTGAGCTGTTTACGGACATTTACACCTTTCAATTTTTTTTTTTAAAAAACGCACCTTTTTTATTTTGTTTTTCTATGAATATCAATAAAGTTTTATCTGTTGGGCCAAAAAGTGTAAAAATTTAATGCAAGGCTCCCGATATATTGTTACAATAACAGTTGAAAAATAATAAAAATACATATGCACAGTTTTTTTTTATAAGCATTTAAAGATCAAATTTTGACAAAATTTATCAAAATCTCGAATATTATCAATCATTGTAATTAATAAATTATAAAATGTTCAGTTTTTATAGCTAAGGATTGCAAATTTAAAACAAATGTTCTCATAAATAGGTCATACTGTAACCAAAAATCTAAAAAATATATGAACACGGTTATTTTTTACAGACATTTTAAATTCAGATTTGGACGAAATTACATAAAAAAAACGTAGAATTACTATTTTAGTTATTTTGTTGTGATTGTATAATATTATTCGTGGGTACTTGAAACTTCTAAAGTACCTACACTATTATATATCCATGATAGTATCACGGTTTGTTGTTGATGTACAACGCGTCATAAGTACCTAATGGATATTGTGCAGATATGATTAATTTGGAATTTATTATAGGTAGGTACCTATTAACTTTTACCCAATTTTTTTTTAATACCATAGATAGCATATAATAGTCCTATACCTAGGCTGACATACCGTCTCCGCTCAGAATCGTTTTTCTTATACAATGATATTATATCATTGAATTCAAATTTAATATCATCCATTATACAGTGACCCACTTGTAACCTACTGTACAGCAGAGTGACATCCACTTACCCACCTTTTTTTTCTTAAATATGGCCTGAATTTTTTACCAAGATAATTTTTTTGATTCATTTTTAATATTAAATACGCTATTAAAAACAAATGCAAATTACGACACTTGGACAAGGATCGTAGGTATAATAAGACAAAATATTGTTCATAGATAAAATGTTTACGCTTATTATATACTCCATAATCTGGTACCTATTTAGTATTTTTGACAATAATACGTATTTATCGTCATTCGTGGAAATAGCAATAACGAAAACACCAATTTTATGGCAGTGGTCGCCGCCCGCCGGTCGGCCAAATATATAATAGTATATTACGTACGTATTTTTTGGACGTAAATAAAATTAAGTTATTAATTCTAGTAGATAGTGGAAGTAAATGGATTGAATATGTTGGGCGTTAAATAATACAACCGCAACAATTTTAATCAGAGTTTTAAGCCGTTGTTTTTGTACCTTTGGATCGCCTGAAATATTTGTATGCGATAACGGACCGCCTTTCGGTTCAAAAGAATTAAATACGCATATCGTATTAATAATTGTATATTGTTATTACATTCTCCACCGTATAATCCAGAGTGAAACGGTTTGGCGGAGAGGGGGTACAAACTATTAAGAATATATTAATTATGTCACTGTGTAATGAGAGGGACACAACGAGAATGCAAACGAAAATAGACGATGTATTAATGAAATACACTGTCAGCTGACACAGTTTGTTGTCCAACAGAAATTAACTTAAATCTTAAGCTGAAAACCCGATTAACAGTATTAAAACCAAAAATAGGGGGGAACATTATTTTAGAGCACTCAATTGGAAAATCGAAAATTTTTGAATATAATGAAAAAAGTGTTGGTAAAAACCCCACAGGCAAAAGGTTAAAATTGGTTACCAGGTAAAATTATGAAAGTACTGAGTAGATGTAGGTATTTAGGGATGATGAATGGAAGTGTGAAAATGGTGCGTATAAATAAAATAAAATCTAGTATGTTGAGCGAAGGAATACATCAGAGTGAATAAAAAAAAAAAATGTATTAGTTATTATTGTTGTGTTATTATTATTATTTATTATATTGTTATGTAATTATCATATTGTGTTCAGTTATAATATTATGTTGTTTCAGTATAATAAGAATGTGAAAGTAAAAGTAATTGAATTATAAAATATTATTATATTATTATTATTATTATTTTAATGAGGAATAACCTTATGAATGTTGTCTAATTAATTATTATACTATAATGTAATCGGTATCGACGTACAGCGCGATACTGCGATAGCCGTTTTGCATATTATAATAAACAGTCTTAATTGGATCGTACTCGCTGACAGTTGTTTTGTTGTTCGCTGCACTCCGCGTCTATGTTTGCTAAAATAAGCACAAACATAACACTCACTGTTGAGTTTAGGATTATGTTTGATCACTTTCCTATCAGAAAATCTACTGTTGAAGAAAATCCAAGCACTTTTACTGTCCTAAAACGTAATGACAGACACAAAAAAAAAAAAAAAATAAAAAAAAAAAAAACACACATCATTTTAAAATCAATACATTCATCGTTTCACTCAGAATCTAAAAGTGTGTACCTAATGGTCTGTATTAACTAGTAACTTTTTTTTATAGTTTTTTCTTCATTAAATGAAAAAATTATGTTACATTGAGAAATAGGTAGATAATTATAATTTATAATACCTATAATAAGTATTGAAATATGCTTTTCTTGTGGACTCCTACATTTGTTATATAAATGTAAAGGAAGTTGCGAGGATTTGTATGTTGGGAATAAAATAACAAGTTGTAAATTTAAAGTTAGAAGGTTTTAATTCATAATTATAAGCATATAAAATAACAAAAATTTGATTTTTATTGACAATTTTTGGTATTTATAATATTATTCATAATTGAAAGAAAAGTTACTTACCCAACTTACCTGATGCTGTACCTACAACTTACCTCAATTATTTTTCTTACTACTTTCCTAACTTAAGTTAATATTGTAGATTTATAATCTAGCTACGATTACTACTACTACTAAAATCTTCAATAGATTTTTGTTATACTTCTTGTCCAAAATGTCCTAAAATAAATAATCATTTAAAGATACTATAACTTATAAGAAATTGTAGATACTTTAACTATAGTCATAACCTTGAAGTTATATAATCTGTTAAGCTAACTTAGTAATTTATGTTGAGTTGACTTCAGCTAGATATTTTTCCTGTAATGACAATAAAACTATAAATTAATAAAAATGTTTTATTTAAAATAAACTAGCAAAATATTCAACTGTATAAGAAATAATAATAATAAGAGTATAAATTAGCAGTAGTGTTAAAATAAAAGCATACAATGAAAATAATTATTAATTATAAAATAAATCAAGCTCAATTCAAATTTAAATTTATTTAACATGAACAATTTCCAATGACAAAAGCGCTGAAGTCATATACATAGTATTATATACAAATAAAAAATATTTAAAAATTATAAAAGTTTAATTGTGACTCAGATTAAACATGGTTAAATAAAATAAGTTTGTTTAATTTATGCCTAAGGGATGACTTTGAATCTTGATTTTGCTGTGTAAATTGCTTACACTGAGTACGCACTCTTAAAGTACAATAATATGAAGATATCAATTTTACAATTCTCATTTCGTGTAATTCTAAAGTGCATGTATCAATAACTGGATGTGTAGGATATAAATTTTTAACTCAATCCAAAAATTGTCTTTGAACTTTTATCATAACATCTTATTTAAAGTTATTATTTTTTATGTTTGAAGAATATGCTTGATAACATTTTTCAGTAAATAATATTATATCAAATATAAACGTTGAAACAAACTTCAGTTTACCACGATTTTTAAAATTTGTGAAAGAAACATAATCTGTTAATGGTATTAATAAATAGTTATGATCCTTACTAAACATATCTTTATTTAAAATTATATCTTCACAAAATGAACATGGAAACTTTTCAATAAATTTATAAGCTGCATTGCCTGCTATATAATAAAGAATATTTTTTTGGTAATGACTAAATGTATGATCATGGTCATGGTCATCTAAATATGAAAATGACAATACTTCTTCATCGACTAATTCTTCACCAATAAATTCTTTATCAACATAAATACTTTTTTCATGTGATAGAGAAAAAATTCCAATAGAAATTGATTCATCTTTATTCTCTAAATCTTGGATATTGGCATTTTTACTGGATAAAATTGAATTTCTATACAACATTTTACGAATATTCCATTTGAATTGAAGAGCTGAAGGATTATTGTTCCATCCCCCTGCAGATCTTATACATAAAAATGTAATTTCTGCATGATCTTGGGATGTTTTATAGGGTAGGAAATATAATAATGGTTCATTTTCTCTAGTTAATAAATCTAATGCTAAATTTTTGTAGCTCAAAATATTAATCAAAAAACCTAATGCAAAGGTTTTCCTACGGTGTTGTAAAATATTCTTTTCCTCACAGTTCAATTGTAAGATATAACTCTTGGCGCTCTCAAATACTTCTTCCCAAACAAATTGATTACTCAATTTCATAGGAGATTTAAATCCTTTACCAAAACTATTTCTAGCGTTCATAATGTCAAATAGTCTATCAAAAATTCTAATAAATTCAATAGTAGCAGTAACATTATTAAAATTATTATTACATGTTTGTAAGAACTGTAATGCATCAGCTACGCTGCTACTCAAAACCTGGACTGCTAAAGGAACACTCATTTTTTTATTTTTATAAAATATATGTAATGAACTTAATTTATAGGCAAACTTCAAATTTTAAATTTGCTGAATTTCATGAAGCTTTTTTATATAATCAAATGCAATTTTACTGCCTGAGTGAGATAAACTTAATTCAGCCATACAATTTCGACAAATTTACATTAGGTGGCAAGGATCAATAATACAATGAATATTTATAAGAGGTTCATCTGGATGAGGAAAAGGAGATCGAATATTTGTATGATCTAAGCTACAGCCTAAAATGTCATAGGTCTTTAAATTTGTGGTAGTTCCATCACTTGTCAGAGATCGAACTGTAATTCCAGCTTCATAAAGAACTGAGATGACAGCAAGTACTAATTGGCTCTGTACTGTAGCATTTATTTTATTTATAAAAAAATAAGCAACCGGACACTTGAATTTTTTATTTAGACTACCAATTATTATGAAAACTAGTGCTTCTTTTGCTAACTCTTCATTGTCTGTGTGTGCAATGCCACCAAGATCACAATATCCATACACTTTTCCACTTTTATCAGGCCAAAATCCCTCCCTAATTGACATGGTGTCATAGATTAAAGCAACATCTTTTACATGCAAAAAATTAGATGTATCTGACTTTAATTTTTGTTTAAAATAATCAATTACTTCATGTAAGATACCAGGGTTGCAATGTCTTGTTGCTATCCATCTACTAATAGTAGAAGGATCTGGTAGTGTACTTCTTTGCCTTATAAACTCATATGCTCGAGGTAAATAAAAATGCAATGTTAAACAAAATTCCCGTATTTCTTCTGAATATGATTTATGATTTGAAGCATTATTTACATTCGCGATTTCATTTTGAAATAAAGCAAAAGGTAGAGAAGAATTAAATTGGTTCTTAAATATATCTTCAACAGTATCTCCAATTAAGTGATTATTTTTTAACAAATTTAACATTTCACGCATACTACTTACTCGCTTATCTCTTCTAATTAATTTCTGCTGCAATATCCTCTTGTCTCGACGTAAATGTTCTATCTAATTCTTCTCCTGTTAATTTTGTCGGTATGCCAATGTCGACGAAATTGGTTCCAGTTTCACAAATTTCACTATGATGAACGGCTGTTGTTGTGGCTGTGTCCTAAAATACATTTTAAATAACTATTTTTCTAAAGAAAACAAATTTTCTTATACATAATGATTAATGGTCATCTAATAATATAAAAAAATATAAATACTTGTTTTTGTATGTATATTTACTTACTTCTCGTTGCAGAATTTTTCTCTCTTTTATTTTTGGTAATAAATTATGAGGAAATTAAATATAGTTGGTACAGCAGACTTTTTCAACATTTGTTTCCCACTCACAACTGTTGAGTAAAAATAATTTTCATTGAAATGCAAGCTACATAAGGTTGAGCTGGAAGTAGGTTAAAATCCTTTCTTCGTACGCATGAACCCATTTTGAAGCCTCTCTTTCTCTTTAAGAGGAAACCTTAAATATAAAAATAACATAATATGTACATAATTTCTTTGAAATGATCAACGTGTAAAATAGGTATAGAGGTAGTAAACACTTTATACTAACTTGTGAAATGACAAGTCTTTCCTAATGTCACTTGAGCTAGTACATTTACACCACTACAGAAATTCACCATCTTAAAATTCTTAACTGCTCACTGTTTAATTTCTTTAAGTTTGAATTTAAAATTTTACTCTTTAGTAACATAAAATCAAACGTTAAAGTCGTTGAAACATATTATGTGTTATCATATGTTATGTGTGATAAAAAAAAGACAGCAGCACCGTTCTTATCTGTTGTCTTTTTCTAACACGCTATTTCGGGTATCTTTACATTGGTCTTATGGCGGGTGAGCACACAGATATATAAAGTAACTTAGTTACTTTATATATCTGTGGGTGCCGGTGAGCATTCCAGTTATCATATCAGTTCAGTGGGCCCGGCACGCCGCGACGTCCGTGGTGACGCCGCGACTAGACAGACGCGGGTGGGTGTCGCCAACCGGAGCAGAGGGGCCGTAGAGAGGGAGGATGGCTCACCAACATATTAAACACGTACCGCTCGGCGGCGGCGGCGGCGGCGAGAGCGCGTACAATCGTTGACCGGCGCCGCAGAATACGAACGAAGCGGTGACCGGTCGTGATGGTACGCTTCCGTAGCCCGGTTTACGGGATAGGCGTTCGCGGTGGGGCGGTGTGCTCCGAAAACGATAAAATAATATATACGAGAGCCAGCGGCCCTGTATCGTGTTTCGACGTGGCCCTTGCCGTGGATGTGCTGCCGTCCAGCCGGTACCGTATGGTGGCTCTCTCTATAGTCGGCGGCCGCTAACCACGAATAATATAATAATATTATGTAAACATTTACCTACGTTGTGCGTTCAAGTTTCCACACACACGATCAGCGGCATAATTTCGAGAACGCTCGATGTTTTATTTTTTTCCAACGTTGCCAAATTTAATCAAATGATAATAATTTGAGCACGATAATATTTGTTGATATTTAATTAGCAGTATATTATGACATTATGTTAATTGTTATTAAAATTCTAACTGAAACTCAAGCAGAACAATATTGAAAATAGCTATGATGGTCAATAAATACGAATATGTCTATGCCCTATCCATATGGCAATATCCAATAGGTTAAGTAGATTTGGGGTCTTGGATGATCTAAAAATGTTAGTAATTACCTACTAATGATCTATCAATACAAATAATTTGTAAAAACGATTGAAGTATAACGAATACTACATGCGAAACATTACACATTATAGTATATTTAAATAGTTTTAAATGAATTATAACAATTTGGTGACTCGATTTCAGTGATAAGATATCGGAAACATTTAAAACTTTCTTTATGGACACGTTCAATTTACTTAATATGATAAACAATCCAGCAAAATCTACAACGAGAGATAACACCACTATCGATGCATTGTCTTCAAGATATTTTTTGAAAAATGAAATCACAAACATAAGTATAAAATTTCAGTTATCACAGGAATGTAATTCTGATTATTGATTATTGAATAATGTTTAATATAATAGTAATTAAATAGTAATAATAATCATTTTCATTTTTTTTTCACATCTACTTATTGATATTGCCTATTTACTTTTATTTTGAATGGTTCCACAAAAATGTATTTGTAATGTATAATATTTGTTGGAAAGAAACTTATCGTTTCTATCGGGTGTCCCATGACAGCACTCATTTTTTTAAAAATTATTTATGGCGCCCATAAGATGAGCAAAAGTTACAGAATAATATAATAGTATAATATATATACATTAAAATACATTACTTAGTTGATAAAGACTAAAAGTAAACACTGTGGATCATAAAAAAAAATCGAAATTTGTAATTAATATTGAGAAGACGCAACGGTGTTGTCTCCGTCGCACAAACGCGTAGGTAACATACCAAATTTACGCTCAGCAATTCAATTTGTATGCCTTTAGCTTTCAAATTAGAGTGAATCGACTTATTATGAAACTTTATGCTAAGAACATTGTCTTTGTTTTGATGGAAGTTTTTTTACGATAATTAAGTTTTCGAGCTAGTTATGAACATTTTTATTTTACATTTATTATACAGTCAACTCGCGATATAACGAATATCGATATAACGAAAATCTTGATATAACGAATAAAACTACCGGTCCCTTGAAAATATCGCGGTATAATATAATTTCGATGTAACGAACTTTCGATATAACGAATTTTTTTCTCGGTCCCTTGAAGTTCGTTACATCGCGAGTTGACTGTACACGCATAACTCACTTATAAACTGAAATATCGTAAAAAAACTTTCAACAAAACACAGATAATTTCCTCACCATCAATCAGGGACGGCGGCAAGGGGGTTGGAGGCGACTGCCCCCAGGATGAGTTCCCGCACTTCAACCCCCCCAGATATTTTAACTCCTATTTTTACTGGTGTATTACCGTTTATATGATGGACACTATATTATTATAATCGTAAATACTAAATGGTATTCCTATCTTAATTTTTCACTCGCCGATAAATGTGATCGTTCGAAATGTTCAAAAATAAAGGCGTTCACCTATTAGTTAGTCGGATTTCCCAAACGAGTCGTCATTATGTTAATTGCGTATGTGTATATGCATGTGTAATGTGTGTGGGCGTGTGTGTGTGTGTGTGTGTGTGTGTGTGTGCGTGTGTGAATGTGTGATCGTCGAGAGCTTGGAGGCCATATAGGTATATTGTTTTTGTAACGACCACCCATGGTTGTTACTTGTTCTCATGTCACACATCCATTGTTATTATATTTTTAGTTTGTCATTTTGTGTCAGTATATATCGTCAATAATTATTGAAAAAAAAAAATTGTGTGTGTGTGTGTGTTACCAGTACTCGCTCGGGAAGTGAAACTTATTTTGATCGATGAAGTAAATCAATGTATAATATTGTTTGTAGTATTGTTTTTGTCCAGGTAAAAGGTTTGTGAGTGAATTAATCAACTAATAACAATGAATTAAATATACTAAATTCCAACTGATATTGAGCTCTCAGTATAGATGCTTTAATAATCGATCGTTAATTATTCATATTATTTAGTGTGGGCCAAGATAGATGAATGTGTTTTTTATTTTGCAACGTTTATATACATATAATATTTATTCACAGCAAAAAACAGTCACTCAACTAACGCGTATTGTATTTACCATTAGCGGTACAAGATAACATATTATACGAACGTGCTCATAGTAATGAATCATTACTTCACTTTGAAAATATTTCGAAAACCATGATTATTCAGTGCAATGCACATTTAAGTAAGTAAAACAAAATACATTTTACATTAATAAAAAAAATTAATAATAATTTAATTTTTCAGATTAAATCAACCATACAAGAAAAACACAAAACAGCTACCTACATACATTTGTATTTAAATTATTCATCCATTTTATTTTGATTTTAATTTTTTAACTGTTTTAACAAATATTATTTAGCAGATTAGAAGTTTTTGAGCATATTTTTACATTCTTTGGAATATATTAATATTTTGTATACTTTTTTAGGCATATAATGACGTTTTATCAAGCATATTTTAAAGCATATTTCAAAATGTTTTACAGGCTTACAGTATATATTATAGTTTTGTGGTGCATGAACATCCACCCTTTAGTAATGATATTATATAGAATTCGTACGACTGGTCGAAGCATCGGTGAATTAGTAACGCGAGTCTAAAATGTCGACTATGCACACTTGCGTTGGCATAATATGCAGTATAATATTATATACTATACACTAGGGCAGGCCGCAGGGGTCTCCAAACTTGTTTATTCAAGGGCCACAAAAAAAATCAAATGCTCTTAGCGGGCCAAAAGTTTATTAACACATATAATTTTTAACTTTATGATAATAATATAATATAGGTAGGTACCTATATAAATAATATGTTTACTTTATATTTTTGTATAGAATATTATTGTTTACTTTACAATATACTTAAATAAAAATAATTAGGTATAAATATAATATAATATAAATACATTTTTGAAACAATTTTTTTATCTATATTTACCTGTGCGTCCTATGCGGGCCACGGGCCGTTAAGACTTGTTCGCGGGCCGTAGTTTGGAGACCCCTACACTAGGGTATTATAATCTGGATTCTGGGCACTGAAGCGAAAAAATGTTTGGTGAACGATAGTTTTTTTGAAAACCGTTAATTATCGAAGTACTTTACGATAATATTAGTTTGAGAGTCTGTCAACACTGGCGCCGGCCGTTACATTTCGTTTGTTCCTCACTATCGCCGCGTAAAGAAATTTCACTTAAAAAAAAAAAAAAAAAAGGGGGCATGTTATGATGGCACCACCGTCATTCAACGTTTGTGTGTGTGTGTGTGTTTACGTCGAGAGCTAAGACGCCATACAGATTGTTTTTGTAACGAACACACATAGCTGTTCTCACGTCATACTATTTCAGAAAGGTTATTCAAAAACGTTGATCTGTTATATTTTTAAAGGTCGTACAGCAGAATCGACATTTTTAAAGAAGACGATGTAAGTACATTAATAATATTTATACAATGCTAATTGCTAACTTCCTTTCTTCCACTCGCCAATCGGTTTGACACAATAAATTCTGTCAGTTTGATTTCGAATCAGAAATAATCATGTCAAGTCGTTTGTCAAGTAAAAAGTTGACAAGGTCCAATGATATATTTTTAATAAATAATTGGATCTACCATTCGGATGCCACCCTTTAAATTATTATTCAGTGAGTGATAAAGAATATTTATGAATATTTGTGTGTATTTCAGGAATTGTTTAAAAGCAGTTATTTTATTATGGACCGGCATCATAGCTTTCAATGCATCGGTGACCGGTTACGTGCTTGAAGGTAACGACGTACGTTCAATAAAAGTAACCTATTGTGGAGGGTTGCTTAGGAGTATAGACATATACTATGTTGATATACGTAATGGAGGGCCGCTGAAGGATTTCTTTGATTTCTTACAGCTGCCAGGAAGTATGTGAAAATTTTAATGTAAAACTGTAAAAACTACATTATACCTATACTACCTAGTATATTGATTATATTGATTATTATAATGTAATTGAGTATTTTTTAGGTATTGGACCTGTAAAACGTTTAGTGATACCTTATAATCAATCGTGGTGTGATGGAGTAAACCAGACTGTCGAATTGCCCGTACAGGTATACCTAATTAATATTTAGGCATAATTTTTAATATTTGTAAAATGTAATATTATTGCTTTAAATTTTAAACTTGTTAATATTTTTTTTTTTCACATAGTTAGAACTTTTTCGGAACGAATTAAATGTATGTTTTTACTAAGATTTTAAACAGTCACAAAATAAATAAATAAATAATGTGGTTTCGGATTTTCATAATTTTTATAAATGGGTACTACTTTGATGTAGGTAAAGTAGGTATTAAGTGTGTACTTGATGTAACAAATTATGAAGTTAGATGATTTATCTTTCTATACGAATAATGATTCTGAGAGGGTATTTTATCAGTTTTATATTTTCATGATACCTATGTTTTTTGATATTGCTTTTAAAGAAACTTATTTTCCCATTAGTATTAAGAATGATTGATCTAATTTTTCCCAAAAACGATTCATTTATTACATTTCTGTATAAAGCAATCAAGAATTTAACATGCATATAAAAAGTTCAAAAATAGTTAATATTATATTTTGAAAATTTCGTCTTGTATGGAAAATTGTCATATAAACATTTAATGAAAATTGAATGTATATATGGACATTTTTTTTGAGTTACTATAAAATGCATGCATTTTTACTCCACCAAATGGTGATGACAAACAGTACAAAAAGACACATCATCATGAAATCACTCCTCTCATAATCTAAAAATAAAACTAAATAACCGTGTGGTTTTCTGGGGCTTTAAATTATATTAAGGTGCCATCAGAATTGTATTTTGAATTGAAATTCAATGTATTCTATTTGTATTAAAAGAAAACATACCTAGATATCTAAATTATTAGTATCCAAAAATTGATATTGTATGAATTAAATATTTACAGTTACTGGAGGCAACAGTCAAGAAAATAAAATTCCCACCACCACAAAAACAAGAAAATGAATGGGATAGTTGGAGGGGTACGGGTGGTATTCATTAATTATACAATTTTTAAATAATTATGTACATTAACATAAATATTATGATCAGTTGTAAACTTTTGTATTGCTAAGTAATATAATATTTATTTGGATTATTTCAAAAATTGAAGTTATTTTATTTCTCTTTTAAGAGATTATTTTTTATTCTATTGACAATAAGACAATAGATTTTTACGTTTTACTTCTGCGTTGAGCAATAAATGTAAAGATTTTACAATTATGCGTTTATTTAGTTGGTGTATGAAGAAAAGTACCTACATTAACTTTAAGGAAAAACAATAATTTTGAATACAAAGTCAGTTTTCTACAAAGTAGAATGTTTCTACAATTGTTGATGTGTGCATTTTTTAGCGGTTTTTTAAATTAGAATTTTATAGAATTGGTATATGATTTTAATTTGTATAATATGATCACTCTTTTTATGATATATAAGGACATTTACTTATTTTATCAACATAGGTATGTATGACTACATTTTAATTTTTAAATAAAATCATAGAAGATATTTTAATACAAGGATTCTGATAATATGCTTCTCTCAGCTGTAATAATAATAATAATTGATAAAATCATATGTCACATTTTCTTAACTTTGCATTTAAATCATTAATATTGTTAATATTGTATAGTTTACTTTTATTTGCTTAAAATAATAATTTAAGTACCATTTTTAACCATATATTTTGTTTTATTGTAAATCTGATTTCAGTTTGACTTAAGTCATTATTTTTGCTTGGAAAAAAAATATTTTTTGACTTACACCACATAAAATAAAATACAATTTGTAATAATAATATTATTTTTTATAAAATTCAAATGCATAACTTGTCTTATAACATTTAATATGAATAACTCTTAAATACACAATAATAGGTATGTAAATATTTGTTATTATTGCATATTTTATCTACTTGATACATTTAAGGTACCTTACACAATATTATAATTAATTATAACATTAAGATTTTACTGACACTAATTTAATCATAACATATTGTATAAATAGTTTATGATTATAATAGGTATTGATAAAACTACTAGCTTTTCTTATAATGGGTAGGTACAATAGTATTATATTATTTAAATTAAAATAATTGTTTCCATGTGAAATTGATACTTTTGAGATAGGTATGACTGTTATAAAAAAAAAGTGGCTAGGTAGATGTCGCTCCGCTGTACAGTCGATGTATAATGGATTGTATTAAACTTGATTTCAATGATATTATATCTGTTGCCACCGCATTTAAATTTAAATTGATATATTATTCAGTAAAATATGGGGCATAACTTTTTATAAATTTAAGAGAGTCAAAATCATAACACAGAAATACCTAAAGGTATCCAACCTTCATAATAATTCATTGGTGATGATTCAATGTAGAGAAGTGAATATAAATTTGTTAAAATGTAACTGAAAAAAATTTATTTTTGGTAGGTACCTATCATAAAATATTTTCATTTTTAAAAATTATTTTTTAATTTTATGTATACTTAGTGTAATATTAGTATACTACATAATATGTACTATGTAGATATAATATATTCTACATTATTACCTACGCCAATTATAATCTATTTATTTTTATAGTCTTATTCATTAGTACACACTTATCAAATCCGTAGTGCACACTTTCAATTTCAGACTACACACTTAGTGTCGGGGTTCACTAAAAAATAGGGCCTGCAATATAAGTTACATTGAATATAGGTTAGCATAATAATATAGGACATCGGTCACGGGGGAGCAGCTGGTCACACATGACACACACACACACACACACACACACACACTAAAATATCGCTAATTTTGTATTGTTTTATTATTGTAATTATTATTGTTGAATGTGTCTTGTGAGTTATAAAATAAAATAATTATTTAGATAAATCCAGAGCATTATCGTAAACCGCCTCGTCGGCTGCCGAATAATGTTTTAACACGGCCGCCGTGGTTTTGTCTTTCACCTACGTTGTCTCGGCAGTATATCAGCGTGTGAAAATATATTATTATAAAAGTTTTTAAGGGCCGTTATTATAGATTTGAATCGGATAAAATTACAATTGTCTAGTTCATTGTTTCATTCGTTATACTCTGATACCCTCATGTCTGATGATAAACTGTTTTTGGTTTTTTTTTTTTTTTTTTTTGTTATAAGGAGAAGTTTTGCAGATACATAAACACGGGTATTATGGTCGAATTGCACTTATTTTAGTCGAACTGCACTTGGGTTTAATTATGGTAATGGTCGAACTGCACTCTGGTAAAAAACAGGTATTGGGTGAACTGCACTTGGGCTCAAAAAAGGTACTTCAACAAAAATATCATGCATTTGAACTGACAATGATTTTAATTATTGGCGTAGTTAAAAATGATTGTTTTATACATAGTACATACGACATACCATTGTCCATTATGTTAATAAAATATTATAAATATTGCATACTTATAACATATTAAATTGAATCGTCAAATATTATTATTTATTATTGTCATTATTATAACTTTTTTTTTTTTAGCTAATTTTGATAATTTTTGTAGAAATAATATTACATTATATATAATTTTTTTTATTATTTTTTTAAATCGTCAAATATTATAATAATAATAATAGTGAAGGTCCATAGTGGCCTAAAATTTTAACTCCTTTCTTTGAACGAGTGCAGTTCGACTACTACCTGATTTTTACCCGAGTGCAGTTCGATCATTACCTTTTTTGAACCCAAGTGCAATTCGAGCATTTATTTTTAGGTAATAAGTGCAATTCGTCTATCCCGATAAACACATACATTAGAGAGGGTGTAATATCATACATTATTAGAGGGTGCTAATTTTAAAATTGGGCGTGCTAATACCCCCCATTTGTTAATACGAACGTTTTTACTATTTTTATTCAAACGCTACTTTTTTATTGTATGCTCAATTTCTGTTTAGATTACACAATATTATTATATATAGTCGTTTAACAATGAATATTGTATAAATGTGACACTGAATTATGTATATTTGTAAATCGAGTGAAACAATACATAATATTATATTATATTATTATAACTACAGCTGCAACGTAATAATCTTATAATTAAACAAAAAAAAGGTGGGCAAGTGGGTGTTGCTCTGCTGTACAGTAGGTTACAAGTGGGTCACTGTATAATGGATGATATTAAATTTGAATTCAACGATATAATATCATTGTATTAGAAAAACGATTCTGAGCGGAGACAGTTTGTCAGTCTAGGTATAAGACATATTATATACATTATACATATCTATGGTACTAAACCAAAATTTGACCTATAATAGGTAGGTACCTATAATAAATTCCAAAATTAATCATATCAAAATATCCATTAGGTACTTATAACGCGTTATACATCAACAAAAACCGTGATACTATCATAGATATATAATAGTACACTTTAGAAGTTTCAAGTACCCACGAATAATATTATTCAATCACAACAAAATAACTAAAATAGTTTTTCTAGGTTTTTTAATATGTAATTTCGTTCAAATTTGAATTTAAAATGTCTGTAAAAAAAAACTGTGTTCATATATTTTTTAGATTTTTTGGTTACAGTATGAACTATTTACGAGAACCTTTGTGTTGAATTTGCAATCCTTAGCTAGAAAAACTGAACATTTTATAATTTATTAATTACAATGATTGATAATTTTCGAGATTTTGATAAATTTTGTCAAAATTTGATCTTTAAATGCTTATAAAAAAAAACTGTGCCTATGTATTTTTAATATTTTTCAACTGATATTGTAAAAATATATCAGGGGCCTTGTATTAAATTTTTACACTTTTTGGCCCAACAGATAAAACTTTATTGATATTTATAGAAAAAAAAACTAAAAAAAAATTGAAAGCTGTAAATGTCCATAAACAGCTCAAAAAGAGTCAAAATATTTTCAAAATTGTATGGTGTATAGGAAATGATAATATAAACATTCAGTGAAATTTTCATGTATCTACAGTTATTCGTTTTTGAATTACTACAAAATAAGGAAATCGCTACATGAGAAATCGAGTGAACATCCAATGTTGTAAAAATTTGAATTTCAAACGCTCATAAAAATTTAATTTGACATTCCGGTAGAGATTTTTTTATTGATAAAGGTAGACAAACTTATGAGTAATCTTATATTACATTTTCAAATCTTAGATTTAAAAAGAAAAAGGTGGGCAAGTGGGTGTCGCTCTGCTGTACAGTAGGTTACAAGTGGGTCACTGTATAATGGATGGTATTAAATTTGAATTCAATGATATAATATCATTGTATAAGAAAAACGATTCTGAGCGGTGATGGTATGTCAGTCTATGTATAAGGCATATTATATACATATCTATGGTATTAAACAAAAAATTGACCTATAATAGGTACCTATAATAAATTCCAAATTAATCATATCACAATATCCATTAGATACTTATAACGCGTTATACATCAACAAAAACCGTGATACTATCATAGATATATAATAGTACACTTTAGAAGTTTCAAGTACCCACGAATAGTATTATTCAATCACAACAAAATAACTAAAATCGTAATTCTTGGTTTAAATATGAAATTTTGTCTAAATTTGAAATTAAAATGTCTGTAAAAAATAAGTGTGTTTATATATTTTTTAGATTTTTTGGTTACAGTATGAATTATTTAAGAGAATCTTTGTTTTAAATTTTCAACTCTTAGTTATAAAAACTGAATATTTTATAATTTTTTAATTCCAACGATTGATAATTTTCGAGATTTTGATAAATTTTGTCAAAATTCCAACTTTAAATGCTTATAAAAAAAAATCGTGCCTATGTATTTTTAATATATTTCAACTGATATTGTAACAATATATCAGGAGCCTTGTATTAAATTTTTACACTTTTTGGCCCAACAGATAAAACTTTATTGATATTTATAGAAAAAAAAACTAAAAAAACTTGAAAGCTGTAAATGTCCATATACAGCTCAAAAAGAGTCAAAATATTTTCAAAATTGT